AAGTAAGTAAGTAAGTAAAGTAAGTTAGTAAGTAAGTAAGTAAGGCAGGTAATCAATTAATTAAGAGGGCGAGTAAATTTATTAAACAAACTTGTCCCTTATTTCTTCTGTAGGTAGATTATATCTTGTGGTCTTGAAGAGAAGGCAACTTTAGTAATTAGTCAGGTGCCCGTTCATCTATTCACCGAGCTTTGTAGTTGACGTGTGGACGTCTCGTCGTAATTCGAAGAGGTACTATCAGTGCGTTGTTAGGTGGGAAGCTCCTCTCTTCATGCTTGCGCTTATTTAGCTAGCAGAGAGCAGCGCCGTAACCTGATTGGATATTGGCCATCATTTTAGTTGAAGTCTAATTGGTATGATCTTGATCCGTGTCGCGTTGTGGTCTGTATTTCGTCCGTCAGAATCCTCCACTACACGCTGAAATTGTTGACCATTTTTTCCTGCTCTGGTTGGTCCTTCCGTGATCTGTATTGAATCATGGCTCACATTCCTGTCGCTTGATTAGTTGATGGTGCACCTTTCATATTTAGTATTGGTGGTTAGTTGATATTGGCAGTTGGTTGTCTTCATTATGATTAGTTTGTCTATCTCAAGGAGCGTGGTTGGTCGATTTGGATGTCTCCTCTCTGTTATTTGACCGGTTGATGACGAAACTTTAGCAAGTCAACCACAAATCCGGGAAAACAAGTCAACAATTAGCTGGTCACTTATCAGAGAATGCATCCGAGCTGCCGAACTTCCAGAGCATTGCCAAGAAAGCAAATTTCAAAACACATATGTAATGCTATTTGGAATCACATGGTTTATCTTAGTTCACTTGAATGACATTGAGACTGCACAAATTTGAAGCAGTTCGATGGACAGTGTATAAAACTTGATAGTTTTGTGTTATTCCTTACATATAGAAGCGATTTTCAATGTGTCGTTTAAGGCAATCAATACGAGCTACAACTCTTAGGTTCCAATTACCACGGCTTGGTTGGACCTTGTTTGCAAGTATAGTTCAGACACGGTCATGGCTTGTGGAAAGTGTGCCTTGTTGGATAGTGGTTTGGCATTTAAATGCAGTTGTCGAATCGTCGCTTCTTCAACTCGTGTTTTTGTAAATTTACTCAACTTATTAGTCAGGTGCCCGTTCATCTATTCACCGAGCTTTGTAGTTGACGTGTGGACGTCTCGTCGTAATTCGAAGAGGTACTATCAGTGCGTTGTTAGGTGGGAAGCTCCTCTCTTCATGCTCGCGCTTATTTAGCTAGCAAAGAGCAGCGCCGTAACCTGATTGAATATTGGCATACTGCCTAATTCCTTGCTTGATTACTTTGATATGATGTTACGAAGTCTAATGCGGAACTTCATTCACCGATTCGACTGATACACGACACTTGACGTTCCCCTTGTGGATTTCTGCTTTTCAGATGTGAAGTCAAAGTTCCGGCTTTTTCGTCCTGTCTTTGTGGTGATAGTGCAAAATAATTCCACTTTAAAACGAACGCTGACAGGATTGGTCAGCAGTGGTACCTCAACAGAGGAGGGACTTGCGCTGGTACTTGAATTAAACTATGCAGTGGCGCAATGTTGTCGTGTAGCGGGAGACGCCCTGTTTGGGAATCTGTTCGACGGTAGTCATGGCTGGAATTTGACAGTATCAGCAAAACCTGGCCGCCCCAGTGAAGTGCTCATTGTAGAGGGTTAATTTGTGTCTAGTTTGCTCTGTGTATCTGATTTCCGTTATATCTCTTTTGTGGAATACAATAATGTGTGCGATTTTGTTAGAAGAGAATCAACGGAATTCAAGAGAGGATTAATTCAAAACCAGGGACTACCAGATTCCTTTGGATGGCCAACTCGTGCAAAAGTCACTCAGTGGTCAAGTGATTGCCCAATCAACCAACCAACCAATCAATCAATCAATCAATCAGTCAGTCAATCAATCAATCGCTCGGTCAATCAATAGTTCCATCCATCCATCCATCAGTCAGTCAGTCGGTCAGATCGAGCAGTGAATCAATAAAGCCACAAACCATCCAATCTGCAAATAGGTCGGATATTAGTCAACACTATTATGATATTAAAAATGTCACAACGAAGATGATTTTATATAGAATATGTAGTCCTTTAGTTATCAAATACAGAACTTACAATCACTGTTCCAAGCTTCAGCATCCGCCCATGAAAACTCCAGAAACGATTCGCGAATAGACCGGAACCCATCGTTCGATGCTTCAAGAACTTCCCGAATTTCGTAAGTTCCCTGGTTGTCGATCCGTTGATACGGGCCGTCGCCCGAAACCGAGGCGATCGATTTGGAAGTTTTTCCAGTGAGTAGAACGTAACCGTTTCCCATACGTGGACGTTAATACCCTGTTTGTTTGTGTGTGTGTAAAGATGTGGGATGCTGTTTAGGGTGATTCACGACTGTCACTTCGGTATGCCTGAGCTTTAGTAAATCTGCTCGCACACATTTATAAAGCAATAATTCCCACTGAACAACCTTTAAAAAAATTTGACAGAATTGTAACTCTTATCAGTCTACCTGTTTTCTTTCCAGGAAAAGTCGTAGAGAAATATAATCATTTTCAAATCAATTTGGTTTTCACGAGAGACTTAACTGAGTCTCCCTTTTGTGATGTCCTACAACTGATTGTGCTGCACACAGGCCGCCTCATGTTTCAGTTGGCACGATATTCCAGATATCGCAGTACATTTTCATGAAAAAAACTACTCACAAGTTTGCTGAAAACACTTCGACAGCCCACTTGACCAGGTTCGCCCTTCTTGGGGCTCATCAGGTAGGCGCACAGTCCCCGAGTTTCCGTCAACCTCATGTTCTACTTGAACCCAAATTGGACTGTTTTCGGGAAATTCACTCATTTGCAAATCAATTTGGTTATCATGAGAGACTCAACTGAATCTCTCGTTTATGATGTCGTAGTGAAGGCAGCCAAGCGACATTTCACTGATCATGAAGGTGTAAACCGTCTATCATTGCAGCAGAATGTGATACCAGGAAGTGAACGTTCGTTAGATTTCGAAGCCCATAGAGATCCGTCAAAGATTTGACCGTAGGTCAAAGGGAGAGTGGAAAGTCCTCATTAGACTCTTTGCCCAAATTGTTAATAGGAAAGGTCCACAAAATTCGAATCAACTTCACCGTCAGATATACTGTGGATGCAAAAAAATGCACAGACCTACAAGACTCATCGTCACTGAGTAAAGGGTTCTATCGGGAATCAGGTTCAAATGAGCTTGATTCGCGGAAGAGATGTCTCCCGCAGAGACATCTCAGCCATAGCTTTACTTACAGTTTTGTGATCTTGCATACACCTTTCTTAAGGACGTCATTTTCGAAGAAGTTCAAAAGGCCATGACATGTAGACGAGGAAGCCTAGAGCAGCCGTTGCGTCAATTAAAACCACGTGATTTCACGCTAGATGGAAATGGATTAGGACGGATATCGATGGAACGCTACAAAAGTGTAACACAAGTAAATTTTATTGATTGGATGAGTCCAGGTGTAAATAAGATTGGTTTCATCCAGCCGAGCGGGTGATAGAAGCAAGACTGGAGTCCATTGTCTAGGCGGAACAGACCGCTTATAAAATTCATGAAAATGCTTCGACATTTCACAACCGGTTTTTCCCTCCCTGAGACTCAACAGGCTGGCTCATTCCCCTGTCCGTGGTACCCCAGTTGTACACTTGGCTTCCACGGGAGACTCTACTGAATCTTCGCAGAATGTGCCGTGTAACGACAGGCTCATGCTACAAATGAAACCAAACAAATGAGTGTTCCTCTTGTAGAATGACGCAAGCTTGTTTACTATGCAGTAATGATGTTGAAACTGGTAGTGGGCTATCAAAGGATTTTTAGCAACCTCATTAAGTAAGCAATTTATGCCAAGAAAATATTCCCCAATATCTCGAGTTTCATCCCAATTGAAACTTGAGGCGGCCTTTCTTCAGCTAGACAAAAGATTCAGCCGAAAATTAGCCTGAAAATAAGTATTTTTTTCGCGACATTTCAATATATTTAGGGAGGGGAATTCGTCTGTAGTATTCACTTAACAACCCAGCGTACTGTATTTAACGCAACTTTTTGTCTGGATAAAGGGATAAAAGGTGAATGGCATCAACTTCAGGAATAATAAGGATGGAATCTGAAAAAACAACTATCAGAGCTGTTGAGGGGTTTACGTGGCGAACACTACCCATCAGATGTTTCCTCATGGCCCTTCTTAGTGCTGTCAATAGATGGGCTACGGAAATACTCAGTGATGCATGTCCTGATGTGCTCCACTCTTTGGGTGACGTAATTGTAGCCAAAATGATAGATAACATCGTTTATTTCAAACAAAAGCGAATCGTCTCCCACAGATGCAGGCAGCAAGCACATGGTTTCTTCAGTCAATATAATTTCGGGCAGCGTCAAAAGTCCGCTTGAGTATCGAGTTCAAACGGTTTTGGATAGTGGGGCATACGTCATCACATTTGAAAGAATAACAAAGCTAGCCCGCACTTTGCGGAAGAGATGAAACTACATCACGCTACTCCGAGAGTACACTGCTTCCTAGTGAGATCGACTGGATACCCATTTTCGATGAAAATTGTCACTTGGTAAGCAAACTCCAAGGTCTAATATGTTTATTGTTGCGATATGATACACCTCACTAAGTAGATTGTTTTCGACGAATTTGTGTAAGGCTTTGACATTCAGATGCTACGTGAATTTTCCGCGGGTACTACCGGACTAGGAACCATCCACTTGAATCGTCATCAGCAGCTTTATGTTGATTTCGATCGCAGATTTTTGCGGACATTGTCCAGTAGCGACTCGAGCTATTGACCTTGGTTCTGAATTGTTCATGTCACACTTACAAGGATCAAGGTTCTGGGTTGGTTGTGATAACAATTTGTTCTTAATCGCCGATGAAAACGTTTGCCGATATGAGCTCCAAGGGAAAAACTATCGCAAAGCCTTCCGGTTTTTGTACTATACACCCATGAATACCGCCTCAGTCTTGGTAAGTGAGTCAACAGCACCTTTTCCCGGGTTTTCCGAAGGACTATACTTCATATCTTCCTCAAACTGTGCGATCACTTGTGATCCGCGCATCTTAAGTTTGGAAATTGAACACTTTGATCATCCTGAATGACCGATTGTCAAACGAGAAGGGCCACTCTTAGGCTGGGCTAAGGCTGTGGCTATGTGAGGCCTCCATGGGTTTCCCGTATTGCAGTAAGGAAGGGCCTTTTGACATCTTACTTGTCCTGCACTTGGGCAACGCCTATCCTCTCAGAAGTGGCTTTTCATCTTACAGCAAAATCGACCTGCATCGAAGTTCCCTGACATTTCGGTTGTGGTCGCAAAATGCCCTCCAAAAGTCGATGTTCTACAGCTCTACTCTTCAAGCTTCCTGCATTTTTCCCTCATGTCTTCAGAGTATCTTCTGTGTTTAAGTGGTGAACAAACAGTTGAATAAGACGTCGCGAAATTACATGAGATCGATTAATTCCGTAGAATCGATCCTAGGCGCTAGTGTGTAGTCTTTACTACTTGTATCTAAGTGACTTCATGGTTACTCGAAGAGCCTGGTATCAATCTTTCCACTCACAACCAGAGAGTTAACTATAGTCAAATGCAAAAGAGTTATTGTATTACCTTCGCTGTCCACGTGTGTGGAAAATTCTCCCTTAGGTGACGAACTGCCTGTCTATCATCCCTTTCAAGTAGGTATTTTGTTTATGTTGCATCAACGTGAAGACAGTGACACGGTGCAATCGCTCTTCAATGCTTACTCACAAATCAAGACCGGATCAGATTTCATGGGGTACTGCCACTCTGGCAGCTTGCTGAATGGTCATCAAATTGAGTCCTAATTCTGTATTTCCAAGGCTGTGATGGCTTCTGGTGAACTTGTGGAGGGGGCATGGGCACACCGAAACCTTCAGTTGAGGCCGAACTGTTGTTTGACACCCAAAAGGTTGGACAGCTCCTTGCCTGAGATGCGACACTCCAACAACTTAATATACGATGAGGCAAACACTAGTCATCGGCTAAAGTGAAGCTGAGGGCCAGTTGGTCAGCTGTTCGCTGCTGGTCGGATTAGGGTTCAAACCACTAGGAGGAGAGTCATGAACTTTGTGTGATCTTTACGCTTGATGATTCCCAATGGAGATGAAACAACTGCAGATTGGCCCCATTTACAGTACGAAACTTTCATCGTGTATCTGACAAATCTTATGACTGGTGCAGACCGCCGAGCTCCCTTCTGCATATTCTTGGCTTCTTCGAGTGACTTGACAACCAGAAACCGTCAGTCCATCATGGTTTTGTTTTTGGAAATGCCCACGCTTCCAACATTCAGGTATCAATAGGTCGAATCTACACCGGATAGAGTGCTTTCATTTGATTGCAGGCATGCCTGGGTTCAAACATTCAAAGGTATTACCCTTCCTGTGCAGTGTTCATCGACGCACTGCAGTGTGAATGCAGAAATAGATATTAGCCCACCGTGTATGCGCGCGTCTTTGGAGCGTCAACAGCTGTGTTGCAAAAGACGTTCAGTTTTCTTAGATCGTGATCATGGATCCGATAAGCCCGGGACAGTTGGGTGTGTCTAAAGCTAATTTTTCCCCAAGAACCCGGATTATTGTCTTTTTTCCTAATCGATAATGGGATTTGTTTCGCTCACGGTGAAAATACACAATTTTGTTTTTTTTCCAAAGAAAAGGTCGCTACTATTAACTGTGTTCTTCACACGATGAAAGGAAACATCACATCATAAACGAGAGATTCATCTGAGTATCTCGTGAAAACCAAATTGATTTGCAAATGAGTGTATTTGTCGAAATCAGTGCAATTTGGGTTCAAGTACAACATAAGGTTGATGGAAACTCGGGGACTGCGCCTACCTGATGAGCCCGAACTGGAAAGGCGAAACCGGTCGTGGGCTGTCGAAGAGTTTTCAGCAACCATGTGAGTAGTTTCATTTATGAAAACATCCTTACTTCTTTTTCACTGAAGGCTACTTCGAGACTGGTTAGCACAGAACCGATTATCAGCTAGAAATCTTTTGCAGTATTAAACCGTGTGGTTTGTCTTTACTGCAGTAGTGTTTAGGAGTACAGGTAGTCTTCTATAGATTCCAAAGGTTGGAGGCGAAAGACGTATTAATTAAACCCGCACACCCGTTACCCTATTGATCCAGTTGGTTCATCGATCATTTCAGCTGTTCTCATCGACAGGGTAGAACTGAACTTGCCCAACTATAATCTGTCACTTTTAGTTCAGATGCAGTAAAATTGGGTGGCCATAAATGCATTTCTCTTCCCTAGCATACACAGGGCATGGTAAGAGCAGTCAAGACAGCACAATGAAGTAGATAGTTCGCGAACATCCGGATCTGTTAGAGAAAGTCGAACCCGCTCGGTCTTCTTAACAGACACTTGCGAAGTAGTTATTTGGTTAGATGATCGTTGACGAAATAGCCAAATTTTTCGTTTTTTGTTCTCATGCAGTTGGAAAGCGTAAAAAGATGCCACTTTTTATGCAAGAGTTGACGAGTACCCTGTTTCTTGAAATGAAAGAGACTTGTTTCACCATATCAACTTTCACTAACACTTGAAATGCTCTCCCCAAATAGGGAACAGCACTTCGGAAGGGTTAGGTATGAGTACTGATTCGCCATCTGGCGAGCTACACAGTGGATCCTTTTTGACAGGCTAAAATACTGAAGAATCATCAGAGAAGTAGCCTGTCTTCGGTTGTGTCTAACTGAAACTACCCTTCTGAGGTTATGGTTAACAATACCGGTTATATAATGAAAGCGAATTTTCGCTAGTTTCCAAACTGAGTTAGGGTTAACGGTTAATTTAGATGAATTCCTGGTAATTAAGTCAAGTTTATTTGCGTTGATATCAACCCACTTTAAAAATGAGCACATTTTGACACTTATGAACAAGTCGGTTTTCCGTTGGTTTCTAAGATTGATTCGAACTCGTGAACTTTTCCAAACTAATGAGCTTTAAAAACGGTCAGGCCCGCCGTGGGCTTTAGGACCAATGTGTTATGTCAAGCGCGTGTTGATAGATATTTACTAACCAGAAGGAAGTTGGAGCGAAACATCGAGCCGTGCACGTATACCGGATAGGGTCTCACATCACATTGTACAATCTGAGGGTCCTCTACCACACGCATATATTCAAGGTATATCCGGTAGAGCACTAGGACCGCTTGGATGATGGCTGAAGCACGATCCTGCGTGGAAAAAGAACCACATACGGAGTAAGTTCGAAGTAAAATGAGGAGAGTATTGCAAAAGACAAATGAAAAGTACCTGACTTGAGAGTGATCTCTCGCCAAACAAGAGGGCTTGATCTATTTGTGAGTGCTAAGCATGGTTTGGAATATCACCTAGATATTGGTTTATATTAGCCCCCCAGAAGTGTTGACACCTCGATTCCAGCAAGAGGCTGGTACATGGTCACATATTCTGCGATAGCCCTGTTCGCTAAGCTGACTAAAATATTTGGTCCGTTTTTGTTGGTAGTGTGAGGAGATTTGGGATTTTTGTGGAGATTTCGTCCTGTAAGTGAAGCCAATCTATGCGGGAAAGCCGAGAAGCACTGTACAGCTGTTTCATCCTTATTGGGAATCATCAGCAGTGCGCATCTCACGAAACTCCGATGAGTCTCGAACCCGTGATCTCCCGGCTAGTAGTTTGAACACTTAACCATTCGGCCACGAGCGGCTGATCAGCAGTGTGATTAACTCGCACTTAGACAGGATATAGCCCCGCTCATCCTTTTTTGTTTACTAATGGCAACCAAACAGAAGGAGGGTAGCAAGCCTCCATGGTATGAGTGACTGTATTATGTAACCGTCTGGAGGTAAAGCCGTACCGCCTCTAGGACTGTGAGGCACATAAGGTGTCTCCTTCAGGTGGCCCGCTTTTCCATATTTTTGGAGGCAGTAGTGACGCCTCTCGTGAGAAAGAGAGGTCTGAACAAATAGTACTGCTCACTCCCAACTTCGTGACCATCGGCATTTTAACTAATATGGTCAAAATATATTCCAAAAAGAAACACGAAACAGGTGCGACTCAGAACGCACATGATGGGCAAAATAGCATCTGGAGTAGAACTTACGTCTCACTGTCTCCGTCTCAGGGTGATTTCAACCACTACAAACAAGTGGGTCGAAATTTTCGGTCATTGGCTTCGAACAATTTTTTCGCTCAAGAAAACCCTGCCACTCACCGTGTTCATGGTCAAACCAGGACACTGGAAGCCAGAGGTGGATTACGTCAAAACAACTGAAATCCCTGTCCGGGGTAGTCGGAAACGTACTACTATTCACAACTCCAATCAAACTTGAAGACATTTTGTTCAGGGAGGTACGTCAATGAAGCGCCACTGTTCGCTGCTGTCACTGTCAATGATGACAATGATTACATTTAGGGGTTGACGTCACGTGGCTACCGAAGCTCAGGGAGGTACGTCAATGAAGCGCCACTGTCGCTGGCAATGATGAAAATGACTGCATTTAGGGATTGACGTCACTCGACTGCGGAAGCCTGAAACCTGGAGTGTCAAGACTTCATTACACTGGACCTGAAAAGCCGAGAGCGCTTGTTGATAGAGCACTCAAAATCCCCATTTTCGGTTAGAAAAAACTGGCTGGAATGAGATACATCTTCTACAGAACCGTTAGTAAGTCAAAATGTATCAGTTTAAGAATGAAGACCATTCGAATGCATTCCATAGGAGATCACTTTCCCTCGTTTGTGAAAACACACACCATTAGTATCTTGTTCATAAAGGGAAAAAGCTAGATTTTATACCCAACTGTCGAATTTTATTTAGTCCACAGTGATCACCGAACTGATTTTTCAGTTAGGTCTCAATACTTGTTAGGAATTCATAAAAAAGACGGGCGTCTTGAAATCGGCTGACTGAACAACAATTTCTTTATGTCTGGAGCTCTGGGGTCTACGGTTGACAGCACGTGATCTGTCCCGAAAAAATCTGATTGGCTACTTGCACACACTCAAGAGATGGCACAGAATTCTTATTAAAAATATCACTATCCGACAAGTATGCTTTGAAAAGATTCATTAACAAGTTGGTACGTAACTCTAAACGTATCCCGGACCATTTTTGATACGAATATAGATGCGCGTCACCTTTGAAAACACTACAGGGGCGGAACAAAAGAACAGTCCATGAGGCCGGATATCAGAGGATTGAGTCGGCAAGTGCAATGTGATTTCAGACTCTATCAAAGGGTCTGTCAGATCCAACTCTACGGACATCCGTGGACGAAGAATAGGCTGAATAAAAACACATTTGCAATGGAGATACCTCGGAGGAAGTAATTTGCTCGGGATAATTGTTTCGTCGTACACACTTGTGCAATTTCTTAGAACACTAGTAGAATACTAGTCGAGTACTGAATAAGTCGTCAACCTCTATCGCCAAAGAATAATATCAAACCACTGGGGGAAATCTCACAGAATGCTTGCGGCAGCTGAAGAATGAATTGGAAGGCTGTAGAGAAATCTCATCGTAGGCGAAGTTTAGATGGGGGAGGAGCACCACTGAATTGATCTTCGCAGTGAGAAAAAATACAGAAGAAATGTTCACAATGCAATCAATCGCTATGCGTTCTAACCCCTGAACTAAAGAAGCTAGGATTCGGTGGACAGAGAAACACCGCGAATCGTTCTTCGGAGGGTGAACTCCTCAAATGAATTCGTAATTCCTGTCAAATATTTCCAATCTGGGAGGATTCCGAGCTCGTGGAAATACGCCTGCAGATTTACAACAATGACACGCGTTATGGTGCCAACGTTTCAGATGTGAGATGGTGTGAATAAAGGGTATCACCGCCAAATACGTTTTGTCCAAAAGAATGCTACATGACGCAAAGCATTGTGCTTTATTGACATTCTCAGTCGGAAGTGTAGTGTCCAAAGTCGACATTTGCGTCTGAGGTATCTCCCTTTGGTGTAGACGTAAACCCAGGCTGCTTTGCTATCCAGCCGCTCGAAAAGCTGTCAAATTCAGTGGTCAGAGGGAACGAAAAAGGTACCTTAGCAACACTCTGACTACCTACTAGATGATCGACAGAAAATTGGATTTTATCTCTGGAAAACTCCAGAAACGTGTTCAGCACACCCGTGATAGGCTAGTGGAAACAACAGTCTTTTTGTGCTGCGCTATCGTATTGTCTACGCTATGGTACGGCAATGAGACATCGACAGTCATCTGCGAATCCTCGATTGGTTTTAGCCGCGCGCACAGTTAAGCACGCAGATTGGGCAGATCGGACCCCAAGTATTTGAATTCTTCAAAACACCAAAATGTTGAGATTCGAGAACACATGGACTGACGACCAGATGTTCGTGTTAGGTCAGGTGGAGCGTATGGAACCAGAACGAATCCCTAACTAGCTGCTTTACGGGCGTTTGAAGAATGGTCTACCAGAATACGATATGAGGGCAGATTTCGAGGAAGTTTTGATTTAAAATCATTCGTAGCCTGATAACAAGTACGCATTCTGTTGTATTCGATGACTTCATGGGTAGGAGAATATGTGGATTCACAAATCCGTAGGCGGTTGGACCAAGGTTCACCTTATAGAATAGATGGAAACTAGCAAAAATGCCAGCAATAAGCGAAGTGTTGCTGTTTGAATCACACCGGCCCGAACAACGTACACAAAAGTAGTTGAAACAAACGTTCCTACTACCCTGGCATTGTTCAGGTGACTTGCTGAAATCAACCAATCAGCTGGAAAGTTGTTTTGTTGTCCCGTCTTTGCACTGCTTTCAGCTTTTATGACCCAAGGACACAGGCTGTGACGGTTTGGTATTTGTTCTCTATTCATCGTTAAACAGGGGCAAAAATGGTTATCTTATCTCTGGGTTGGACTCTACTTATAAGGGCCAGTTGACTCGATGACCTACTGGAAAAGAAACTGAATATCGAGTTACTCGGGAACAAGTGATGGCCACATTCTACTGAACTGTGAAAAATTCAATAACCACGCTCATTCGTCTGTGGCTAACCAAACGGAATCACTGAAATCTAGCCACTGACCTACCGGAATATCCAGGAAATTACAGCCGATCTCCTTGGTGAAAGTCACATTAATCCAAGGTAGTAGAAATCCGAACTCGGCACAATCTTCTGGGTTGAGGAATGGTGTGTAGCGAAGAAACCCGAAATTCATGCTTGACCTCTCCTCAGTTGCCGATAAAATCCGTAGAAGGGCGGATACTGACATATCCAACCTTTCACCCAAGATCCAAAAATACTCTGTCGTCAACTTTGAGTGATTGGCAATCTGCAGTGAAATTGTGCATGAACTAACAAACTTTAGGTGAAAATGGGTCACTAGGGAATTTGATTCATAGGTAGCATATGATGATTTTGTTAAAATTTGACATTTTCAGCTACCAAAATGTGTTGCTCGCTTGCTAATCAAGTGACTACTCATCTGTCTATCAAGCCTAACAACATTCTACCCTCATATACCATTTCTTGGTGTGATAGGATGTGTGCTTCAGTATGTATCTGGTTCTATCCAACATGCTAGATAACGTCCCTATCAAAAGTTTGAACTGTGGTCTCTTACCAGTGTGGAAACTTCGTTCTGTATTTGAAGGCAGTCTTTGCCGAGAATCCTAGAATTACACCTGTCCCATTTGTATCAAGAGTAACTGGCAGTGTGCATCTCCAAAAACCCAAGGAAATGTGGAACTTGTGATCTCTTGGCTAGTAGTTTGAACACTTGGTCACCTAGGCAGATCAACTCGCACCCATAATCTTCAATCAATTAAGAAAAATGTTTGGGACCGATTGGGAAGTCATCGTTTCATAGAGGTTTGGTAAACAATCGGTGCATTTATTGCTGGGCAACGTTCCGCTTCTGACACAAAAGCTTCGTCAGGCCAAGTGGATAAGTAAGTAGGTTGATTGGG